ATTTTCGGTACTACCACGCACGGCATAGAAACACCATTAACTACGGGCTGAGGTAGGCGCACTACGCTAAGAGTTATTTTGCTATGTTATGTTGCATAAAACAGGATTATCATGTAGAACTCCATCTTCCTGCCTGCCCCGGAGCGGGGCTGAGGCAAACCCTTCCTTCACCCTTGTTCTGTGCCCTCGGCAGCCAGGCACGACCCCGCCGAGGTCTTTACTCCCCCCCGGCAGATCCAGGACCTCTTTTATTGCAGTGACAAATGACCCAAGTCTGGCCGTGGTGTTGTATCAACCAACGTCATTGTCGCGCTCCTTCACCAGGCCCGGACCAGGCAGGAGCGGCCCCGGCGGTGATGGATGGATGGGGGGGTGCTCAGAGACAAGAACACGGAAATCAGGTGGTTGAAAACTGCAGTTATGGCCCCAGCGTACGGAAAATCTCTCCCTGAGATGAAATAAAACGTGCTCACCTGTTTTCACCTTCTTTTTGTTAAGTGTGTCCAACTTCTCAAGCAAATCTGAACCAAACTGGCTTTTATTGCTCCCTGCGGGAATAGACCGCTGCTTCCCAGGCCACTGGAGGTCCCGGTGGTCATGTCACAAGTACGATGCCTTGGGCTTATCGATTTTTGCTTAAGAAAAGATGGTTCTAATGGTTGTCCATTGGCTTGTTCAGTGTCATCTCCACTCCTGTGGGTCTGTCCTTTTATCTTCAATAAAGTCACCAAATCAGAGATCCTTTCTCTAGTCCAGAACTAGCGCCGGGTTACTTGCTGTTAGGCTTCCAAAAGCGTTCAACTCCTAAACCCTCTGCTCAACATCAACCGCTCAGCCACCCGATCCGGCAAGTAAAAAAAGACTTGATCAGATTTGATAACAAAATAGCATTTCCTTGTTAAAATAGACCTTGAAACTGTCTCTTTTTTTTTGTTCTTTTTTTGTGTGTTTTTGTACAAAACAGGTACAGCTTTCGGAGGGAAAAGGTCTTCCTAATAAATCCAACACGGCCACTACCAGGCTTGGCCAAGGGTGCCTGTTGTGCTCGCCCTGCCCCTGGGAGCACCGGCGCTGCGAGGCTGAGGAGGAGGTGGGATTGCTGAGGCTGCTGTGCTGCAGGGAGCGGGGCACCGCGGCATTCCCATAGCATCCCGCCGTGCAGGAGGCTCCGGGCAGCAGGGAGGGACTGCAGCAAAGCGGCGCGGGGACGGTGGTGGTGGGGTGCACAGTGGTGGATTTAGTAACTTAGGAGTACGCGAGTGTTTAAACCACTGCTCGGTAGCACCATTGCTAAAGCTCCTGCGGATCAGCATCGCCGATGCTCCTGCAG